TCGCTACTTCGCGAAGTTTTCATTTCACATAATTCCCCGCCTTGTAGCAAAACCTTTACGGCTGTTGTCAGATATTTCACTTCCGTTCACTGAAAAATTCTTTTCCGTTACGTCATAATATGCTAATTAAACAAAAACGTCACGGACATGCGTGACACGTTTCGAACCCCATGCGCCCAGCCGTCAGGGGAGAGAGTATCGCGGGCGCACGAAATCCCGACGGCTGGAGACTGAGCCTAATGTTTTACCTGTACCACCTAAAAAAACATTATGGCCAGACGTAACAAGGTCTTCGGCCTTTTTTTTTTTGCTCGAAATTTAAGGTAATTTCGCTCATTTTTAGAACAAGCGTAAGTAATCCGATATTGATGTCACCAAAGCCGAACCTTCGTCGACTGCTACAAAAGTGCTTATTTCGTTTCATTTTCGTACTTTGCGACATCTCTCGAAGCCTTCCGAACAATTTCCCGAAGATATGCCCATTTACCTGGTTCACACATAGGTCCATCGCGAGTGAGATGCTTGAGTATACTTTCTTGTTGAGTACAATAAAAATCAACAACTGAAACTCGTGAAGTAGATAGAAAATCAGGCTTCATATCATTATTGTAAATAMAATTGTCGTTTTCTTTTATCGTCGGAGAGATATGAGCAAAGTAAGATTGTCACGTGAACTAGACAAGGAAAAATTGTCAAGGACAAAATTTGCTCGTGTAATGGACAACAAGGAAAATGTCTCAAGGAAAAATTGTCAAGGAAAACTTGGTGACCTTTCACAAGGATAATTTTTCCTTGTCAAGGAAAACTTGTTCTTCGTTTACACYACCAAAGAAACATTCTCAAGGAGGAATTGTCGAAGAACTTGTTGACCATCTGCACGGGCAATTTTTCCTTGTCAAGAAACTTGTCAAGGAAGAATTGGTCGTATAAAAGGCGCTTTAAGCCTTTGAGTTTAAAAGTTTCAATCTTACAATATGCTAATGATAATGACGTCAAGGGAGACTTCATTACATATACGAAAACAGTCGCTCAAAAATGTTTTCATGAACACCATCTTGGAATATGGTTATTCACTACATTGCCTACGATAAATACAACTTCATGAAACCATTTTTAAGCCACTCATTCAAAGGATAACTGGACTATCACAATATGCAAATAGATAAAACTTTTCATTTGCTCTTAGGCCTCGACAGCAAGTTAATTATTCTTTTAAATTTGACAAATGAGACTATTCATATCAATGTTTGCATTGCTCACATTCCTACAAATTCAAAAAAATATTCAACACGCTCTCGATGCCTAAGAGCAACTGAAAAGGTGTATTACAGCACTTTTCTTGCCAAGTCTGATGATCCCAATGAAGGGCCTGATAATATGTTATTTTTAAGGAATTGTTGATGGTTTTAGATTTTGGGCAAATGATATAATATATATCATTACTCATTTAATCATTTTCATACAAAATCGGAGGTCTTTTTACTGCCAAAGGGTCGTTGCAGCTGGCAACATTATAACGTTTAMTTCTAGATCAAAGTTGAGTGTTATGGAAAAATAATATTCATTTGGGTACCGTCACACATCATCTGACTTTAGTGARCTTTAGTCTCTCAGAACCTTCGAGTAAAATAAACTTTTTCCTATTCTGGAGACTCTTATATCATTAACATACATGCGGGAAGTGCAAAATTGTAAAACAACCTTTATTGAGCAATATGGATTAAAGATCCAAATACGATATATTTTCTTTCTTGAAGTACAATTTCCCTTTTTCATGGCTGGTGATCGCAAGTTAATGATCTTAAAATATAGAGTATCGCTATATTTAGATGATGTGCTAAGGACAAAATATCAATGCATGCATCTTAAGCTTCTTTTTTGTTAGTTTAATTCTCACTCGAAGTAAGTTAAATAGAGTATATGTGCAGCTTCCAGGCTACAACGTTATATTAATCAACTATTGATCAAGTTGAGCGGAAGTGAAAATTCTTTCAATTGCGTTCCTTTACTCATCACGACTTTTGTGAAAAAAATGAAATTAGCCTGTTCCAGGGATTGTATACTACTTGTATATACTCATATTATTATCAGCATACTTGCGAGTAGTGCTGAATACTAAATAAATACTATGTTTTTGTTTTTGGAAAGCGTTTTATTAGTTGTTAATGCAATAATTAACTAAAAATATGAACGGCACTTCTAAACTACCTAAACACTTACTATTTGTCAATGAATAACACTTAGTCTTAATTGACTGGCTGGTGATCGCGCAATCAATAGATTCATAGCTTTAGGGTATATAGAGTCACTTKTGAAATTYCTAAACCGCTATTATATATCAAACCATCGGTGTATCTTTGCTAATTTCATGTAATTTTCGAAAACAAAAATCAAACATCGTCTAAAGAAAAAATAAACTAAACTAAACTAAAAAAAAAATGCATGAAAACCGTCGGCATATTTTGATCTGCACGACTAGTTTGACGTCAAGCACAGCTCTATTTTCAACAAATTCTTTCACGTATCTCAAGAAGTCTGCACCAAACCACCATTTTTTTAGCATTTTCTAGAAGAAATTTTTATTAGTGACATAGTTTAACTGATCAAATAATTAATCTTCACATTGACCATACTGTTCATGCTTACTTTATGCACGAAAATAGATTATTTTTTCCTCCTTTAAAATTGTGCTTAATGATACATTTTAGGGACCAAGTTTGTTCTCTCAGGTTCCGATTATTGTTCAAATTCGATGTTTTAAACATTACTAAATAGGAAAATAAACGTCGATTGCATGACTTGGATTCGCATGTTGGATGGAACTATGAAGGCCCGTTAACACTTGCAATTTTTGCAGCGCGATTGTCGCGCGACAATCGCCTTAGCTTCGAACATGCTTGAAATTTTTAACTGCAACTCGTAGGGCTGTTTACACGTGCGATTTGARGTGTGAGAGAACTAAGTGGCGATTGTCGCGCGACAATCGGGCTGCAAAAATTGCAAGTATAAACGGACCTTGATGGCTGCGATATATTGAGTATGATGAATTGAGCAACACCTTATCTCAAACAAGGCTGAATTTTATGGCGAAATAATAGTTTGGATTCAAAGAAAAATGCCTAAAATAGAAAAAAAAAACACTTTAAGGTCTACATTATATCCAACTAGYTTTAAATGCATAACATATATCTCTTACATGGTTGGTGATTGCAATTAATTGCCTTACATGATAGTGTATTGACATAATGTTTTCAAATTACAATTCACAAATTATGTGAATATGAATATATCATAGTTTTTTCGTAATTTTTCCTTCTCGCTAAGTTCAAAGTAAGTTACTTAGATCAATAAAACTAAAACAATAAAATTCAAGTTGAATGACGTTTCCCGTTTCCGTGCCGTTGCACATCACCATTTGTTAAGCAATAGTGTCTCAACCTTSCAGTAAAACATCCTTGCCTGGTATCATTATACTGAAGACTCTCTTAATTTATTTCATTATATCCTCTATTGTATTATTATACTTCAGTACAGAATCATATAGTTAAAAAATACAACTATTCAAATATACAAAATCTCTTTCATCAGTGTCAAGTCAGGAATAGCGCAATATCTGTTGCTTTAGGGTATCGTAGAAGGTTCTAGAAAATTTAAGGAAATGATTATATATTATTAATATATTTTCATTCTTCAGAATCACTTTTGATTTACAAGAAAAGTGAGCTTTAAATTTTGAAACTTTGAAACAACTGTCTTTTACTTTGTCTCGCCGTTACACATCAACACCTTCTTAAACACTTTTAAAAGTGTTCCAGGTATGCTTCCTATACTGGTGACAATATTTTGTTAATATTAATATACGTGCGAATAGTGCACAAACACTTTGAAACGACCTAAAACAATTTGGATACAGGATACATGTGTTATTAATATAATATTATCATATTAATATGAGTTAGTAATAGCATTTTGTTTCACGCACCATTACGAACAAATCAACTATTGAAGAATTCGTGTTTAGATATAAAAGAAGAAGTT